CCCGCCACCCCCGCCCAGCCCCCTTCCCCCCCGGAGCCTTCTCCTTTCCCTTCCCTGCCCGTCCCTGTCCCTGCGGCACAGCCGCCTGCCCCTCGCGGGGAGACCGAGCGCCAATGGTGATGAATAAAGTGTTGGGAAGGAGTTGCAGTGTGGCATGGTGGGGCATTGGTGACCCCTGAAAGGCCGGGTTGGGCAAAAGGAAGTTTGTTGAGTTTAAGTGATTTCGTGTACATCGCTCTAGAGGGAGGGGTTTTCTCCCAAAAGGAGTCGGTGGTTAAAACATGCTTTTAGAGTTTATATATTTAATTAGGAATTGGAAATGTGGTAAGGCAGAAAGGACAGAGGGGAACATTTGGTGCGTTGCTGCTTTCAGCACGTGAGAGATGATTTGAGTTTTTGAGAGAGGAGGAAGACGGTCTGGAAAAAATGTTTTCAAGACAAAAGAAAAAGCATTTTAACTCACTGGTGAGGGGGTATGGGTCTGCTCAGCAGTCTTTCTTCCACAACTGGAAAAGTTGGTTGCTGAGCCAGGTCAGCGCAGGTCGTATCTACCACTAAGCACAGGTTTGTTTCTTCGGCGGCAGCTGCCCCTGCCCGGAGCGTTTCTCCACGAGGGGACGGAGCCGTTCCTCGTTCCTCCCGCGGCCTCTCTGCCCCCACGCTCCCCGGGCTCTGGATGCGGGGGAGCCCATCTGCGGTGGATTGCTGGGACGGGAGCTGCAGAGAAAGGGAAAATGCGCTCCTCCTGGGTTCTCTTGCCTTGGTTGTCTCCCAGCAAACTTCACACCAAGAACACCCCAAAATTCTCCGTCCATCTGAAACCAATTTCTTTTTAACCTTTGCTTAAACAAAGTTAGGGCTGAAGAAGTATTTTGCTTTTTCTGGAGCAAAAGTAGAGCGAAAAGCTCCGCTTTTTTCTTTAAAACTCTCACTTGGGCTCCTTCGAACGGGTTGAAAAGCGGTGAGCGAGTCCCGGAGGACCCGGCGGCTAGAGCGCCCCCCGCGCCCCACCACCGAGGCGCGGCGCCGGGGCCTAGAGCGGCCGGCGCGGCGCGGGGGCCGCCGGAACCAT